GTGCTATCACAAGAGACTGACCAGAATTTCACCATCTTATCATTCGGTACCATCACAAGAGACTGACGAACTGGTGTCAAAGATTTTCAACTGAATTAATATCAGGACTTTCGGGCAACCATTTATCACTTTGATGTCATCAACATTTAATTTTCCTTCCAATATCTCTTATTCAGCAAAGCATTACGTTTCGGATTATTATCCTAATGATATTGACAACCAGGTCCAATTAAACATCATTGTTCGATGGGTACTGTATGATGGATTAGGATACTGTAATACTACTTCTCACATGTTCTACTAAAGAAAAAAAAAACATCTTTACATCGTTATAGACCTGCGAGAGATATAGTCAACAGTCTTACCGTTGAGCCAAAGGAGAGGCAGGCTGAAAAAAAGTCATGATAATATTATTAACACTAAAATAAAAGCCCGTCACTATTGAATAACTAACAAAAATTATAGAATTTAACTAAATCAACATGAATATTGAGCATTCAACATAAACACCATAGTTGGCTTAAGAACAATCAGGTGATAGTTTTGTTGCTAAGCGACGATGTATATTGTTAAGCGTTACCGAAAAATAATAATAATAAAAGGAGCGTGAAAGCGTTCCCGACAGAGTGACAAAGGGAATAAGCCATTTACAGTTAGTGATAATAACAACGACATGACTCTAAATAGCTGAAAATCGCTATAAAAGACACGGTATTACTCCAAATTACTAAAAATCGCTATAAAAGACACTGTATTACTCCAAATTACTGAAAATCGCTATAAAAGACACGGTATTACTCCAAATTACTGAAAATCGCTATAAAAGACACTGTATTACTCCAAATTGCTGAAAACAATGAAAATGTTAACGGCATGATTCTAAATTCCTGAAACCTGTACTATTAACACGGTCATGATTTTATATGCCTGATAATCATCATAATAGACACGAAATGACTCTATAAAGAAAGCGTATGTCGTCATAGAATAACGGTGGACGAAGTGATAGATTAAAACATCATCGTTAAATTCTGTTTAAAGCAACAAATTACAACTGAAAAATAATAAGGTATTAAAAATCCTATGTGTTCTACTTATAATGTGGACAAACACTGTCGGATAGTGTATATATATATATCTGGATTTATGATACTTAATGGGTTCGCATCTGTATATATAACGTCAGGATAAAGTCTGGATTACTTCTGTATATATTTTTACAGCGACGATACTCTACAACGTCAGGATAAAGTCTGTATTACTTCTGTATATATTTTTACAGCGACGATACTCTACAACGTCAGGATAAAGTCTGGATTACTTCTGTATATATTTTTACAGCGACGATACTCTACAACGTCAAGATAAAGTCTGGATTACTTCTGTACATATTCTTACAGCGATGATACTCTACAACGTCAGGATAAAGTCTGGATTACTTCTGTACATATTCTTACAGCGACGATACTCTACAACGTCAAGATAAAGTCTGG